CTGAAATCTGGTTTGCTTTCCAACGTTGCTGCTTTAAATTGGAGAGCTTGACCTTGTAGCAGGAGGTGACATGCAGATGCACATCAGCAGCCCGTCAGAGCGGCGGCGGGGGCCGCGGGGGGGTGCGGAGCCGCCTCGGGGACACGCCAACTATTTTATGAGTAATTTAATATCTGGAACACAGAGTTTTCATTCCCAGAGATCTGCTGGGGAAAGAAAGAGCCTTTCTGCAGCCCCGCGAAGGCTGTTCCTCATAAGGAGGCAGAGCAGAAAAAAAGGGCTGGGATTTAACTCCTTGGTGGCCAGCCAGCGCAGAGCCTCCCGACTCCTGGTCCCTGCAGAGGCCAGGAAATGCAGGAATTCCCTGCGCACCTCTAAGTGGGAGATTAGCCAGGCTGTGGTGCTAAAGGCAATAGAAGCAATTGCTCCTTCCCATTCAAATTCAAACGCAAGCCCAGCTGAGGATGGGGGCAACAAATTTAACAGCAGCCCTGAAATGAGATTTGGGGTTGGAGCTGATGTCTGAACTCCCTTCCCTGTCCCAGACAGGTTTCTGCTGTATCAAACTCCACAGGAGTCTCCCTGGGGTGGGGCCACCCTGCAGTGGAACCAGTGCACCCAGAGGACCCGTGCAGGTCCTGCTGACAATGTCACCGTGTGTGACCTCAGTGCCATCAAAGCTGCGATTTGCTGCTGGGCCCCTTGTGACGCCTGTGACATCCCAGCAGTCACAAGCCAGTGTCCTGTCCCAGCAATGCCTCTGCCCAGAGCATTCCAGCACCTTGGCACAGCACTGAACCCACACAGGGACTCCCATATGGCTCCTGATTGATATTATGGTTTGGAGAAGGGGAGAGAAGGAAGAACTCAAAAAAATCCCCCAGTGTTTCACTCCACAGCCAGGCCCAAGGGCAGAGGAGATGGTGGAGAGCAGCTGCCAGCCTGGCAGCAGCAACTGTGGCTCAGGGCTGCGGGGCTGAAGGGAAGGAAATGCTGTGGGCTGCTCAGGAGGGAGCTGCTGCCAAGGGAATGCCTCCCTGCACGGAGGAGCAGTGGCAGGAGCTACGTGGCAGAAAAGCTGTTTGGAGGGGCTGGCACGGGAAGCTGGTCCAGGAGGCCCTGTCAGGCACCCTGGCTGTGGCTGCTGCTGCCAGCAAGGAGAAAGACCAAACAAGCATGGTTTAGGAAGGGCTTGGTTACAGCAGGTACTGGGAACTCCTGGGCTCAGTGCAAACAGATAAACACCTCTGCAAGCTCCATGCTGTTGGCTGGTGATGTTAGACCAGACCGTGGCGCTGACATCCTTGGCTACATCTCACTGACGAACAGCATGGTTGTGTTTTGATTCCTCCAGCTCAGCTTCATTTCCATGAACACTGACAGGCACACCCATTTTCCACCACGCTGGATTCTGCCAGAGTCCTGCTCATGCCGAGACTGGAGCTTTGGCCCAGAGAAAACCTCCAAACCCCCAGTTAGATAATGCAGGAGAAACCTCCATGTGATTTTCTTGCTGGTGCCTATTGCTCTGTGCCTGGGAGCAGGAAGATTTTATTTTCACCCCCTGACAGCTCTGTTGGTGTCTTTGCCCACAGCTGTGCTCCTGGCTCCCTCCCTGTCCCGCTCAATGGCCTCCAACACCACAGACCAAAGCACCCCACGGCTTCTTGGCAAAACACTGACATTCCTAAAACTCCTGAAGTCACCTTGAAACACCTCCTGCCCCAGCTTCAGCACCTGCTGACACCTGGTGGGCTCGGCCTGGGCACAGCCCTGCCCTTGGTGGCAGCCTGGCACTGCAGGTGAGGGAGGGCTGCGGCTGCGTCCTGGGGAGGGACTGCAGCTGCCTGGAAAATAACCCCAAAGGGAGTGACAGGGAGCAGAATGTGCGTGTCAGGGGACAGCTGCAGAGCACACACAGAGTGCAGGGAGCGTGCAGGGGCAGGGGGAGTCACCCAGGGCTGGGTGTGCACAGGGGGATGTGCACAGAGGGATGAGTGAGCACACACAGCACAGGCAGGAGCGTGCCCAGAGCCCCCGGCCAGCTCTGCCCATCCTGGCTGAGGACAGATCCTGCAGGTTTATTCCCCGGTGCAGTCATGCCAGGTTGAAGCACTGGGCTCAGGCACACGTGGGGAAGGTGTAAGGAATTAATTAAAGGTACAAATTGGCCCTTTCCTGAGTGCCAGTGACCGTGGTGCTGCCCTGACCCACCCTTAACACCCACAGCACCTGACCCTGCACAAGTTTCTCTCCAGCTCTCCTGTTAATGGTTGTGTTGTTCTAAGGTTGCTCTGTTTCCATGGAATAATGAATCCCGGCCCAAAGAGCAGGGCAGGAGATTCAGGAGCAGGGCTAGGTTGGTCCTGCTGCTCCTAGGAACGCCAGGCAGGACAGGTGGGACTGCCAGCACAGCACACAACCCCTCAGGAGCTTTTGGGTTTTCCCAATGGGGCCCTGAGCAGCACAGGGGGTTCAGCAGAGGGACTGAATTGCTGTGCACAGGAGGAAGCAATCCCAGCTGCTGTGCAGCGAGCCATGGCAAGGGACATTTTGGCTCAGGCCTCAGTGAGTGCTGTAACAGCTTGAGAGGAAGGGGCCTCTCCAGCTGAGGGGGTGCAGGCTGTGGCTTTGGGGCTTCCTACAGGGTCAGAAATGTGCTGCCCACCCTGAGCTGCCTGGGGAGAACTGAAGGGTGGAGTTTCATGGACCAGCAACAGCTCCAGCACCCTCTGGGCCCCTTTCCTCATCCATTTCCCAGGGGCTGTGAGTCTAGTGGCAGCCTGAGGGGAGCAGGCAGCTGCCATCCCATGGGGCCACTGCCAGAGGTGGCATTGCTGGGTGCTGGCTGAGAGCCATGGGAGGAAATGATGCCCTCTGCACCTCTGGGCAGCAATTCCTGTGCACCTCTGGGCAGCAATTGCTGTGCACCTCTGGGCAGCAATTCCTGTGCACCTCTGGGCAGCAATTCCTGTTCACCTCTGGGCAGCAATTCCTCTGCACCTCTGGGCAGCAATTGCTGTGCACCTCTGTTTTCCAGCTGTGTAAGCACCGTGAGCTGCACTTACAGCTGCACTGTAAGTGTACCCAGTACACAGTACCTGCACTGCCCTCTGACTTTGCCCAGGCACAGCCAAGCCCCCAGAACCCTTTTGACTCGTGCTGGTCAGACATCTATTTCAAAGATAACACCAGCTTTTTTCCTTACAGCTTTTCAAAAATCAAAAATTATTACATCCATTACCTGGAAAGGCAGAAAACTTCACCTTGGTGCCCAACAACATCCCAGGTCCCTTCCTGCAGAGCTTTCTGCTGCCAGTGCCTGTCCTCTGACACACGATTGTCCCATGCCAGAAGAAGAACTTTGTGTTTGACTCTATCAAATATCAGTGGGCTCCTGCCAGCTCATTTCCCAGCCTTCAGGGCTCTTGGAATGGCATCCCTGACCTCCAGTGTATCTCTGTTCCTTGGCACAATGTCTCCTACCTGCCGAGGGTTCAGGAGGCTCAGGTGTGTGTGCTACCAGCCCTCTCTGGGTGTCCAACACCTGCTCTTTGCCCCGCCTGCCTTGCCCAGCTGGGTTGTGTTTGTGATGCTGCATCTCCAGCTGTGAAGCACCGTGGGCTCGGTGGGTGCACTGTAAAGGCCGTGCAGTGCTCTGGCACGGGGGAATTCGGAACGCAGCACCCACCGCCTGTGCTCAGACCCGAGAGCAGCAGGCTCTGGGGACACGGGTGCCTGAACCCCGGGGGACAGAAGCCACAGAACTTGCTGCAGGAAGGATAAAGCTCCCAGGTGGTCCGGAGGAGGAGAAGGAGGAATGAACCGGGCTAATGCTGCCCGCTGCCTCCTCCCCGACCCTGTGGGCAGGGCTGAGCCCCTCGGAGCCGTGCCCGCCCGGCCGGCGGGGCGAGGATGCTGCGGGGCGAGGATGCTGCTGCTGCCGGGCGAGGATGATGCCGGGCGAGGATGCTGCCGCTGCCGAGCGAGGATGCTGCCGCTGCGGGGCCAGGGCTGAGCCAGTCTCCAGTGCCACCTGCCGGCAAACCGCCCTGGATTTGGGGAGCTCCGAGCGGGTCGCAGCAGCCGCGGTCCCCGTCCGGCGCTGAGCAGCCCAGAGCCAGGGGCCTGGAGACCTCGGGGTGATGCTCCATTAAATCTTGCCCAGAGCACACTCACCTCCCCAAGCCCTTTTACCATCATCCTTTCCATCCCGACCCTTTCAAATCCTAGAGTCCCACAAAAAATTTCTGAAAGCCCCACGTCCAGGCCCACGAGATGGGCTGGGGGCTGCAGGCAACCCACCCACATGGGTGCAATGCCGGGTGGGCACCTGCCCCGGGAGCAGGGCTGTCCCCGGGCTCCTCAGCTGTAATTCTGGACATTCCTGGCTCCACAGCTCTGCTATTGATAAGGGGCAGGCCGGGGGGGGGCTTGTCTGTGCTCCAGGACGTGGAGCACAGCTCTGTGCTGGGGTTTGGAGGCTGTAGTGGGGATGTCCTCCACACCACCCCCATCATGGCATCCAGTTGTTTGGCCCACACGGACCTGCCTTGCCCTGTCACAAGCTTTGACAATCTTCTGTGGGTATTTCTGTCACCATGACCACCCCAAAAAAAAAAGTCTGAGTGAGGTTGGTGCCCCCAGATCCTGCTACTGCCAGGACTCTCCAGTACAGCACCATCTCCAGCATCTCCCCACCTACCACCAGTACCCAGTGGCCCCAAGTTTTCCACTATGTCATTGTCCGGCCCCCAGCTAAAGGCTGAGCTGCCTTTCCATGTTTTCCTAACTCTGAGCTGGGACCCTTTGGGTGGCTCTGGATGGAGATACTCAGCCTGGTCTGCAGCAGGAGCTGCATGACTTGCCTGGCTCTGCTCAGCAGTAATGAGATGCTAATGAGCCTGGGCTGCACCCAAGAGGGTGAGAACCAGTGCCCTGGTTGTGTGAAAATTATTTGTGAGGAAAAAGGCAAATCCTATACAGAAAGGGACCAATAGTGCAAAGAGCTGTCATTTATTGTGCAAGAATGGCAGCAGCGTGCTCCAAGCACCAATTTGGGAGCAAAGAGTTTCCAGGGGAGTCCTCAGCTCTGCAGGGACTGCAGAGATTGGCCACAGACACAGCTCCAGTGGGCTAAGCCTCGGGGACGATGAGGAAGCCAGAGAAGACGCTGTCAGACCCTTCCAGCCCCACCAAGGAGTTCTTCTCTGTCGGTTCCAGCCAGACAGACTCGTTCATGGCCATCTTGAGCACCACACCACCCGTGGTGACCTGGAAACTGTTCTGCACGAAGTCACAGAAGGTCACCACCCTGTCGCCCCTGCTGGCACCCTGGCCCTTTTTGATGTTGAGGCACAGGTTGCCCCGGGAGGTGACGTGGTAGGTGAAGTAGTAGATGCCGGGCACGCGGCAGGTGAAGCGGCCGTAGCGGTTCTCGTAGTGCCCGTTCTCGTTGGCGATGATGCGGTCGAAGCGGACGGGCTGCTCCCGGCGGGGGTAGGAGCTCAGGCTCCTGGCAGCGGAGAACGCGGACTTGAAGGTGACCTTGTAGCCACCAGGTTCTCCCGCGGGGCCAGGCATTCCCCTGTCACCTGGAACACCCACTGGACCTGGGATGCCACTGGGACCAACCTTCCCAGGTGGTCCCGGCAGTCCCGGGACTCCCTTCTCCCCTCTCTCTGCTCCACTCAGGCCAGAGGGTCCTAGGAAAGAAGAGGAAGAGTCACTGTGGTCCCAGCCAAGCCCCATCTGTCTGCAGAGAGGGAGCACGAGCAAGGACACCTGTGCTGGGTGTGGGCCAGTAGAGACCCTGCCCAACAGGCAGGTGTGACACACCTTGCTGTCATCCCCCTCCTTCCCCAGGTTCCTTGGGGTGTCCCATCATCCCCACCGACAAGACCTCAAAGAACTGGTGGAAATGGGTTGCTTTCAGGGCCACGTGCCTGGCACTGTCTTTCCCTGCTCTTGGCATTCACAAGACAGTGTTTTACCCACCTGCAGCCTCTTCCTTACCTTGCTCACCCTTTGGGCCGTTCTCCCCATCCCTGCCATCGCTGCCAGGCTGTCCTGGTAACCCTGGGATGCCTGGGATGGTGCCGTAGGTCCTGCAGAGCGTGTCACTGGCAGGCTGCCCTCCAGCCAGGCAGATCAGCATGGCCCACATGATCCACATCTGTGGGAGCACAGAACGATGTCGGGGCTTTCCTGGGTGGTGGGAGGGCTGGGGGAGGCACTCAGAGCTGCTCTGAAAGATGGTGACTGCAGACAAGTCTGGGTAATACCATCAGGGAGGGAAAGCATCCTACTGCAGGGCCAAATCCACTCTCCTGCTGGAGCAAAGGACCATAACCCTTGGGCAAGACAGGTCTTGCAGTGTCTTGTCATTCTTAAATCCCCAGTTTACAAGTGCTCACAACTTCAGCAACGTGAATATTTGGGACAGGTTATCTCAGAGATCTGATGTCCAACGTGGCCATGCTGCTGCCTTGAGGGAGAAATTCCCCATCTCATCTCGGGATCATATTTGCAAGGTAAAATCCTTACCCAGCCAGAGCAGTTTTGCCATCTGCAAGGGAACAGGCCTTGCCTTCCACCAGCATGTCTAGGGGACAGCACTAGTCCTTGAAGATGGCAACGAGTCCTCCATCCCACAGATTCCCCTTGTGTCCTGTCACACAGCTGCTCAATGCCAGAGGCATTTCTGTATCTAACAAGCCTCACTGGGACAGTTATCTGGGCTTCCATCCCTGGGGCCTTACCTTCTCCCTGCCCTGCCTGCCCAGCTCCTTCCCCCAGCTCCTGCTGTGGGCCCATGTGGATCAGCACTGGGCATCTGAGCCACAACTCCCCCACCTCAGGTGGATTTTCCCAGCGCTGAAGCTCTGGTGCCAGCAGGACAAAAGATTGGTGAATTGGATCCTCCAGCCACAGCCGTTCTGATTTGGGTGTGGCAGGTACAAAGACCGATCCACAGGCTCCCAGCCACCAGAAAAAAAATCTTCTCAGGACAGGAGAACACCTCCAGGGCACCTTTCAGTCCCTGATAACCCTTCTGGAACTCTGCCATCTGTACTTTTATGCTTTCCTTTTTCTGGGTGGAGTAGGAGGGGTCAGGGTCCCACCAGGGACCTCCACCACCCCCAGCCCAGCACCTCCACCCCCAGTTTCTCTTCTGCCAGGCCACAGGGAAGTGCCAGCGATACAGGTGCCTATCACCCTGCCAGAGCTGGGTTCCCCACGTGCTCCTGCCTGCGGGGGGAACTTGGGCTCAGTCTTGCTCTTACCTTGATCTCCTTGTCCATCAGGTGGGGAGACGGAGCAGTGTCCAGCACCCCAGTGTCCTGCTCAGAAATGCCCGAGAAGAGAAGCAGAAGTTTGCTGCAAGGGTTATTGTGAAAGGATCTGGGACACATCCCCTTTTTATCTTTAGCTCCTGTCCTTTTTCTGTGGCAGTTTCAGATCCTCCATGAATGCTGCTGTCAGCTGAGCAGGACAAGCCATCCCCAAATAGCACCCTGAGCCTCTCCAGCCACAGTCTGCCCTGCAGGGTCCCTGGGTCCTGCTCAGGGGTGCTTGCTATGAAGAATTCTCTTGGGAGCTCCAGATGAGTTTAAGGTAACCCCTCAGAGCTGCAGAAATGTGCATGCACTCAGCCAGCACCCTCAGGCTGCTCCGCACGCTTCCAGCTCTGCAGGTCCAGGGGTGCTGCAGGGTCTCAGCACCCATCACCTTGAGTCCATGCCCCTGACTCTCCTGAATATTGTGCATGGGAAGTGATTTTACTGTGGGAAAAGCATTCCCTGCTTTGGCTACTGCCTTGTGGAAATGAAGTACAGGATGTTCGGAGAGGTGACTGCCTGTTCCACCCTTCAATGTGTGACACCAGGAGAAATCCCTGCTGGGTTTTGATGGGCTCTGCAGCCTCCACAACCATGAGCTTCTTTGGTCTGGCTCAGGAAAGCCAGAGTGCTTCCCCTGCCCATCCTGGTAGGGACACCAGGGATGTCCCAGCCATGGTGTAGGGATTTCCTGTGCAGTCTGTGCCCCTGTAGAGCTTTGGAGGGAAGGGGAGTATCAGGGCCCTTCTTGGATGAGTCTTGGTGCCCTCTGGATAGGGGCTGTGTGGGGACATGGGAACCACCCTGTTCCTGCAGCAGCCAGGGTCCCACCCGCTGTGCAAAGCTGGATGTGGGTGGGTTGTGGTGGTCTCTGATGCCAATGAGGCTTGGGGACATGTTGATGCCACACAGATGGCCAGATGTCATGTGCACCTTTGTGCACACCACAGAGAGGAAACAACACGTCACACCGGGTGCACGGGGAAGGTTTTATTGACTCTTTGCACAGCCAGATCATGGCAAAGGGGTTCTGCAGCCTATGCCAGGACACCTGTCTGAGCCTGAGGCAGCCCAAGTGGGGAGGGGAAAAACACAGAGAGACCTCTGAGGGAATGTGGGGTTAGCAAGGGGGATGCACGTGGCAGTGCCAGCAAGACCAGGAGCTCAGCACCATCACGCTGGGTGCAGATGAACCAGATGTGCCTGTTCCCCCTGTGCAGCAGCTACCAGTGCTCAGCCCCCAGACCAGGGCGGGTCTGGCTGCTGGGATTAATGCCCTCCCTGCGGAGGGACTGGTGAGGAGCCCAGCAGCGAGCAGCGTGTTCAGGGCAGGTAGAAGGCGTTGGGGTGCTGGGGTGAGCTCTGCTGATCCTCTAGTCAGGGAAGAGCAGGAAGCCTGAGAAGATGCTGTCGGAGTTGGCAATGCCCACCATGCCGTTGTAGTCGTTCACTCCCAGCCAGACCTCGTCTGCAGCAGCCAGGCGGAGCAGCGACCCCCCTGAGCTGACCTGCATGGGGTTGGTCTTGTGGTCGCAGAAGCTGGCTATCCTCCTCTGGTTTTTGTGCAGGATGACGCAGAGGTTGGCTGTGTGTGAGCTGTGGAAGACAAAGTAGTAGACCCCGGGGAGCCTGCAGGTGAACTTGCCCGTGGTGGTGTTGTAGTCGTGGTTGGTGTTGGTGATGACGTTGTTGAAAACCACAGGGACGTTCTTCAAGGGGTACTGGCTGGTCTGCCTCGTCACTGAGAATGCTGACTGCTGCTTCTGCTTGTAGCTGCCCGGAATTCCCGGGGGGCCGGCATCACCCGCCTCACCAGGGATTCCCATTGCACCAGGGAGCCCAGGGAGGCCAGGCTTGCCTGGAGGGCCAGGGGGGCCTGGTTCCCCTTTCATGCCCTTGGGTCCTAGCTGTGTAGAAGCTGGGATACCTGTGGGGTGGTGAGGCATGAAAGAGAGTCAGTGACAATGGCAGGATGTGGGGAGAGGCTTCTCTAGCCCCTTCCTTTGGGCAGGAGAGTGCTGTTGCCTCTTCCACCTGGCTACAGCGGATGCTCTCCACATCCTGCAAACCAAGGCAGACCAGCCATTGAGGACTCAGTGCCCTGCTGGAAGAGCCCATGTGGTTTCCCTCCTTGTTCACTCACCTGGTTCCCCTTTGGCTCCCTTCAGCCCATCCCGGCCATCCCTGCCTGGCATACCCGGCATGCCTGGCAGGCCTGGAGCTCCATAGCAGCTGTGAGGGTTTTCTACAGTCACAGCAGAGCCCAGATTCAGGAGGAGGAGGGTGAGGGCCAGATAGAGCTGCTCCCAGCATCTCTTCTCCATTTTGGTGTTCTGTAGCATGGAAAGTGAAATAAAGTGCTGGAGTGAGGGGCCACAGCAAGGTGGCTTGCAGGACATGGAGAAAAGGAGCCTAGATATACCAGGAACATCTGGGTGCCATGGGTGTGTCCTCAATGTCCTATCTATACACACTGCAGGACAGTGGGGAGGTGGACATGTGGAGATGGGCCCCAGGCTCATCTCCAACACCACGGCAGCCCCTGATGGCACAGCATGACTTGGACGTTCAGTCCAGATGGAGCCATGAGGTCTGAGGTACCCATGGCCAGCCCCAAGCCCTCTGAGTCTAGTGTCCCCAAACCCTGGAGATGCACACACTACTGCAGACTGGCACGCCGTGCTGCACCGAGGCTGGAACTCCCTGCACGCAGCTGATCTCCCTCCTCCTCCAGCAGCAGCCTGACTGTCCCGGCTCTGTTCATCAGGATCAATCCTTCCATCAGCTGCTGCATCCTGTCTCCATCACACGTGTGTAGCCGTCAGTGCCTCTGCCTCCATCCTCTCCTCCTCCTCTCTCATCCATACCCTCCTCTCATTCTCCCCCTCTCCAGCAGTGTGCCATGCTGCTGGACCCCCAGGCCCACCCTTTCTCAAAAAGGGTCCCTGCAGCACCTCTTACCTCTGGTGGGGGCCAGGGATAGGAGCCACGCTGCTGATCCCGCTGGGCGCGCGGTCACTGCCAGCACAGCGCGGTGGGTGCGGCTCCCTGACACCCTCGAGGGGGAAGTCACAGAGTGAGGAAAGCGTAAAGGGAGAACACTGAACCCAAACTGTTCCCTGCCAAATTTCACATCCTCCTCCCTGATGCTTTCTGCTGAGACAGCACTTCCTTGGCTGTCCAGCCAAACCTATACTGGTGCCACTGCAACAGGAAGGGCTGGAAGGACAGAGGTGGGACACAGCTCAAAGAGATGTGGCAGAATCCCCCAAGCCACTGCAGGGAATAGCCCTCCCCAAATTCCCTGCTTTCCCTCTTACTTCCCTTGTTTCTGAGCAGAGGGGGATCTTGGGAGCAGAGCCTCAGGCCAGCTCCAGTGGGCTGAAGATGCCTGTGGCACTGAAGGGCTGCTGCAAGTCACTGCCTGGCTCTGATGGAAGATGCTGCCCCCCTAAATAGGACTGGAAAATGTTTCCCTTTGTGAGTTTCTGATCTGCTGCTTTCCCCATGCTCCACCAAGTTCTGCTGGGTGCTGGACTCGGTGAGGCCCCAGCATCCCTTATTGGGTGCTGCTCCTTGCAGGTGACCCAGCCTCCTCCTCATTGCTCCAGGAACGTGGATATTTGAGTGCCCAGTGTTTATGGAACAGCTCCTCTGAGGAGCACTCCCAGGGTATGGCACCTGATAGCAGCTCCACCACCATCAGCCCACAACCTCATGAGTGTCCCAATGTCCCTGTCCCTCCTTGCTGTAATGCCAGAGGACCACAGCTGCCTTTTGCCTTCCTGGGAGAGTTTCGATGCCAACTTGGGACCATGTGGGTGAGGTGCAGGACCTGCTGCCTGTGTTTTCCCCTGCAGGACAGCTACCGTGGGCTCAGCAGGGAAGGACACACATAACCCTGTCCCAGGTATTTCTTATTCCTCCTGGAAGTGTCAGCTCTGACTGGACACTCCATTCCTCCCTGTCCTTCTGTGTTTGCAGCGCCAGGGACAAGCTGGAATCACTTTTCTCCCTGTCAGCCTGGGAAGGGTCCAGGATATTGATAGTTTGGGGAAGAGTAGAAAAGAAAACCCAAGGAATAGTGGTAGAAGTATTTATTTATACATTTATATGGGAATTTTGTGACAGGATGTGTCCCAGTGCCAGGAAGGCTTTTGCAGTGGTTAGTGGAGCAGAAGCAGCAGCAGGCAGTGATTTCCCACTCAGGAGCAAAGAGCCACAGCTGTGACAACTGGGAGTGGAGCTCGAGTGCCCAGGAGGAGAAAGGGCTGAGAGTCCTCAGCCTCCAGGACAGTGCAGGCAGGCTCAGCATGCAGCTGAGTGCTGCAGTGGTGACCCAGAGCTTGGCCAGCTGTGACACTGCTGGAAGCACAGAACACTTCTGGATGCTCAGTTTGGAACAATCCCCACGCGCTGTGGCACTAAAGCATCCCACACACCCAGAGGGAGCAGCCAGGCAGGCAGACACCCCACGACGCTGTGGGAGTCCCTCAGGCCATCTCTGGGGACACCAGGAACCCGCTGAAGACGCTGTCGGCCTCGGAGCCACTGTAGATGGAGCTGCCCTGGGCGGGGTTGGTGGTCAGGGACACCTGGTCACCCAGGGCCAGGCTGAGCACGCTGCTGCCCGAGTTCACCTGCAGGAGGCCGCGGCTGTTGTCGCAGAAGCTGGCCACACCCAGCCCGTTCCTGGCGATGCTCAGACACAGGTCTCCGCTGGACACCACCTGGAAGGCGAAGTAGTAGAGGCCGGGAATGCGGCAGGTGAACTGCCCGGTCTGGGGGCTGTAGGAGTTCTCCTGGTTGGTGATGATCCTGTCAAACACCACCGTCGTGTCCACGCGTGGCGGGGACAGCCTGGAGGCGGAGAAGGCGGGATGCGGGTGCCCCAGAATATCGCCAGCTTGCCCTTTCTGCCCCGGTGGCCCTGGCACCCCTGGCACCCCCCCGAGGCCGGGAAAGCCAGGTGGGCCACGCATGCCTGGTTTGCCAGGAGGCCCTGGTTCGCCTGCATCCCCTTTGGATCCCTTGATGCTCGGGCTCAGCGCTGGTCTCCCTGGGGAGAAGTGGGGAGGAGAAGGAGTTCACACACATCTGGCATCTCCTGAGCTGCTCCCACAGCCTGGGATGCTCCTGCCAAGAGGCTCCCAGGCCCCCAACATCCCCAGCTTCCTCTTACCTGGCTCTCCCATGTCACCTTTCTGCCCTGGCCTCCCATCACGGCCAGGGACTCCAGGGGAGCCGTTCTTGCCATCCGGTGCCCTACACACTCCATCCTCCAGCAGGGCCATGCCCAGCACTGCTGCCAGGGTGCTGGCTGCCAGCAAGACTCCAGGCTGCATCCTGCTTCCTACAGCACAGGGAGGAATTAGGGCTGGAGGCAAACACACAGATGAACCTTGGTCACAGATAAGCAGGTGCCCTCATCAGATACATCCACAGATCTACTGAACTGTCCAGTATGAATAACCAGACACCACGTGCGGGGAAGGGTTTTGAGGCTGTGTGATCTGAGATCACTGATGGCACTGAAAATCTCTAGCATGTCCATGGCAGAGCTCTGGGATTGAAAAGCCCAGAACATGGAGCATGGCACAAACCCTTTCCTCCAAGTCCTGGGCATGGGTAGGGCACCTCAGATGCCTGTAGAGGACATTTATTCCAGTTTGGGGGGAGAAGCACTGCTGTGTGGGGCAGTGGTCCCATGGGATAGAGAGCACAAAGGAGGAAAGGATGCAAAGACACACTACAGTGATAAACAGGAAAGGGAAAAACGGCAAATGGGATCCAAACCTCCAACAAGCAGAGCTGGGAGAGAGGACATGAATCTATCCCAAAACCTGAGGTTCTCAGCCTGGGACAAGTCTGCAGGGACCAGTGATGTCCACAATCACACAGAGCTAGGACAGATTCCTGCAGATTCCTTTTCCCCCGGCATCAGCTTCTCCCTGTTTTTCTACTTTGAACCCGTGTGGAGAGGGAAGTGAAGAACAAAGGAGGACAGGGAGCAAGGACTGGAAGGTGGTGGCAGAAGAGGAGAGTGTCCCCAGTAGTTTGTGGTGAATTACCTTGGTGCAGAGGCTGAAGACAGGGCAGTGTGAGCAGCTCCGTTTGCTAGAAGCTCTCCTCTGGGAGCAGGGAGGAAGAGGAGAGGGGTGGGAAGGATGAACTTGCATGCACTGCGGTTTGCCTGGTTGGAGAAGGGATGTGTTGAGTTTCACTTTCCTGCTAAGAGAAAGAAACTTGTTCCCCTTTCCACGCTTGACTCTGGCTTTACTGGAAACAGCTTGCTCAGGAAGAGTGCAGCACACTGGGCACTGAGCCTGGCCCAGCAGCAGGGGCTGGTGGTGACTAGGCACAAAGCAACATGACTGGAGGGTGCTGGGATGGCAGGAGGGGACAGGTGATGGGAGCACCAGGTATCACAGCCACCCAAGGGACGCTCAGGACAGCAGATCACCCTTGGAGGCTTCTGCTCTGGATGATGGGCAGAGTGTCTGTCATTTTGTCACAGTGCTGCTGGGTGCTGACCCCTCCACATGCCCACCTTGGCACTGCACTTGGATGGAGCAGGATCCAGCAAAGTGATCATCAGTGCCTGTGGGACTCAGCTGGGCCTTGAGTACTTTGGTTGGATATTAGGGAAAGGTTCTTCCCCCAGAGGGTGGCTGGGCACTGAACAGGCTCCCCAGGGAACAGTCACGGCCCCAAGGCTGCCAGAATTCCAGGAGTGTTTAGCCAATGCTCTGAGGCACAGAGTGGGATTGTTGGAGTGTCTGTGCAGGGCCAGGAGTGGGACTGATGAACCCTGGGGGTTTCTTCCAACTCGGTCTGTAGCCCAATGATCTCCTTCCTGCTGCCCTCACTTCAGTGCTTTGGGGACCCAGTGTGTAGAGTGGGAAAAAAATGAGGATGTCTGGCACTGACAACGCTCTCAGCTCCCTTTGGGTAGCTGTGCCTTGCACCAGCCAGATCTGAGCAACCCCAGGAGCTGTGTGTGGCCTCAAGATCTGTTAAGTGAAATACCAGCACCTCCTGTCACTGAGTGCTGGGAATGAGTCCAAGGGTGCACGTTCAGCCCTGCCGAAAAAGATCCCCAAAATGCCACCAGTCCCCAAACCCCATCACACGGGGATGGCAGGTGCCACAGTGACTCTGGCAGGTGAACATCCTTGGGACACTGGGGACCACCCAGGCCACCCCATGGGGGACACAGTGGGCAGTGAGGTGGGGCCTTCTCATCCATATCCCCATGAAAATCCTTTCAGGAGTCCTGTGACAGCTGCCCTGACCTGGAGCTGGGGTTCAGGGGAGGATATCCAAGGAAAGAGGTTGGTAAGCAGACCTGGGATTAGGGTGACTCCAAAGTCAAGGGGGGTTAACAAACCCCCTATCCCTTCCACCTTTTGCTTCCTTCATTCCCAAGGGAGGTGTTGCATAATTTCCAAAACAGCTGAAAAAGGCAATCACCAAAATCCAGTCCAGAGACCTTTGCCAACAGAGATCTGTCACTGAGCTGTTTTTTAATTCATTGACTAGATGCCCACTTAATGCAATTTATTACACATTTTTAATAAAAATGTTACCCCATAATAAATCAGATGCCCAGAAGAAATGTGATCTTATTTTATCAGCAGAGTTCCCCTACCAACCTGACCTGTAACCATGTCAAGACGACAGGTGAGTTGGAAAGGACCTACATTCTGCCAAATGGTGTTTCTGGACAGTAATTGTATTTCTGTCCTATTGCCCTTCTTAATACACAACTCAAATTAGGGCACTCCATCATTTCATCCAGCATTGATTGATGGCTCTGTCCTCATGCTCCGTGTCCTTTGTCTTGTGCTGTCCCCTTAATCCCATTTAAATGCTCAATTAAAGAGACTGGCTGTGGGTTTCCAGCATCTCCTGGAAGCTGGTGTTGGTCCAGGTCTTCCCTCCCCCAGGTCCCTGAGATTTCTGAGAAATGTTTAGCCCCATTTACTTGACTTTCAGAATCACTGTGGTCAAGCCAAGACTTCCTGTCCCATCCTCTGAGCAACTCCTCCTCCTCCTCTGGATCTGCAGCTGAGACATCCCAGACTGGTTTGGGTTCGAAGGGACCTTAATGCTCATCTTGTTCCACCCCGACATGGGCAGGGACACTTTCCAACCCGGCCTCAGACATTTCCACGATGGGGCAGCCCAGCTTGTCTGGGCAAACTGTGCCAGGCCCTCCCCGCCCTCTGAGGGCAGATTTGTCCCCAGCATCCGATCTGACCATCTGCACAAACAGCCGTGGCTCCGGAGGTGCCGGCCGCAGGGAGCCGGCAGGAGCAGCGCAGGGCGCCGGCCCGGAGGCTCCTGCGGCCGCAGCGGCAGCACGGACGCGTCCGGCCCGGCGGGCGGCGGGCCCGGCTCTCCCTCCGTCCCGCCGGGGCCCGGCTCTCCCTCCCTCCCGCCGGGGCCCGGCCCTCCCCTCCCTCCCGCCGGGGCTCGGCTCTCCCTCCCTCCCTGCCTCCCTCCGGGGCCCTCCTCTCCCTCCCTCCGGGGCCCTCCTCTCCCTCCCTCCCTGCCTCCCTCCCTGCCTCCGTGCCGCCGCCGGAGCGGGGCCGCCCGGTCCCGGCGGGCCGTTGCCGCGCGGTGGCGCTGCCGCCTCAGGCACCGCGGCCCGCGGCGGCCCCGCCCGGTGATCCGGTGACGCGGCGGCCGCGGGGCTCCAGCGGCTGTCCCCGGAGCTCCAGCGGCTGTCCTGTCCCCGGGGCTCCAGCGGCTGTCCCCGGAGCTCCAGCGGCTGTCCCCGGGGCCAGGGCCCCTCGCACAGCTCTGCGGACACCCGCCGAGAGCCCCTCTCCCCCAGCAGCCTCAAACAGCCCTTCCCCAGGCTGGGGGCGGTTTGGCCCGCCCCGGGACCGGGCGACAAGGGGGCTGTGCTCGGTGGGACCGGGCTGTGGAGGGAGGTGCGGGACCCTCGCCGGGTTCTCCCTGTGGGACAGGTCCGGCAGAGCCCCCCAGCAGCATCACGGCCAGGCTCCCGCATGGAGCAGGGGCTGAGACCATGCAGGGGACCCCGGATGACATGGAATGGGGCCAGGCCTAATGCAGAGATCACTCAGAACAGCCAGAGGATGTAGATGTTCCATAGAGCCCCAGGTGTCACAAAATCATCCCCAAAGGGGATGGTGCCTTGGTACCTGGGGAACCTGAGCACTCAGGTGAGCATCCACATGATTTTAGGGCACCTGTTATGGCCTCTTGGCACTGCTGCGTACCCAGGAACTCTGCTCCAGATGATTTTTACCCCGAGCACCCCTCCTCCTTTCAGCATGGGGCAGTTCCTTCTCCTCTGGCTGCTCTCCCAGCTGGGGATGCCAGGTGAGATGGGTCCGTGCCCTCCCAGCCCTTCAGGAAGGGAAGTGCCCCCTGCGCAGCCTCCCCCCGTCCCAAGTGCCTGCAGGCACACACGAGTTGCTGACAGCAGACAACAGGGAGAGATGCTGCTGCGCTGCCTTCCCTGCTGAGAATCCCCGGGGTGCCGAGCTGACAGGCAGGAGCTGCCAGAGGAGGATAAATCAGGCAGCTGGCACTTACCTGTGCTGAATGGAAGGTAGTGATGGAGATCAGCAGTGCTGGCAGGTAGCACACACGCCTCTGCTGCCAGTCACCAGCATCCTGCTTGGCCACCTGCACCCACTGGGAGGTGAGGACAGCTCACAGCATCCACCTTTCTGCAGCCACTCGTGGCTTAATGGTGCCTGAATAACCACCCAGCTGGATGTTGCAGCTGTTGAGCTGGGCTGTCCCAAATAAAATCAGAGAATTATGGAAGCATAAAGTTTGGAAAAACTTTAAGATCTTGGAGTCAAAACATTAAACCAGCAGGTTAATGCCAGGTCCATCACTGAACCAGGCCCCCAAGTGCCACATCCATATCTCTTAAATCCCTCCAGGGATGGTGACACCACCACTGCCCTGGGCAGTTGTGCCAGTGCCTGACAGTCCTTTCAGTGAAGGAATTTTCCCTAATATCCAGCCTAAACCTCCCCTGGCACAACTTGAGAACATTTCCTCTTGTCCTGTCACTTGTTACCTGGAAGAAGAAACTGACCCTCACCTGGATCCATCCTCTTGTCAGGGACTTGTGGAGAAAGATGGTGCCCTGGAAGGATTTAATGAGGTGTCAGGTGAAAATCGGGCTGCAAAGCCAGTTGCCACACTGTGTATCACTGTGTGGCACACTGCCATGCGCAGAAATGTTTTTAATTGCTGTCCCAGGGGATGAGTTATTCCTATGCTGGATGCTTGTACAGAGCAGGTGTGAGGAAGAAACACAGGTATGTGGTTTAAGAGGCAGGATTTCAGGCTCCAGCCCTTGCTGGCTGTCTCCTGTCATTGATGCACATCTCTGCTGGCTCATGGGACGAGAGGAGATAGATGAGTGCTGAGCAGCCGTGGGCAATGCTGGGAAAGCTTGTCCCATCCTTCTCTCTCTTGTTCCCTGTTGAGGATATCAGGGCTTGTCATTATTCGACATCTATTGGTTAATTTGGCTGATTGTTCCCCATTCTTTAATGTATCCGTTATTTATTTATTCTCTGGTGTAACAAGCAGTTCCAGATTGATCACTTTGGCATGTAAATGAGCTGCTCTAGTGCTTGTCACTGAAATTTGTAGATTGGGGGAGTTTGCAATCAAACACAGCCGGAATCTAAATTACAGCATTTCAGGCAATAATAGCAGGGAGAAGACAGGAAGGATGTGCCATAAATAAGATGGTATCAGAGCAGGGTGCCCTGAGCTGTGCTGACAACATGCCAGGAGCCCCAGGGTGAGCAGCAGGAGTCCCTGCCCTGCAGAGCTGGGCTGTCCTGGCAGGGAGAAGGGCAAACAGAGGAAGCAAAAGGCTTTTGGGAATGGTAGGGCCTGGATGGAGACCAAAGGCTGCTTACGCTGGTCTCTGAAGAGCCCAGCACGAGGAAAGTGTTTACAGGACTACAGGCTGCAGGGAGCCTCAGGACTCTTGTATAGGATACTGATTTGATTGCCACCATGGATCATGTTTGGCATCTTCCCACCTCCATCAAAAGTCAATGGATGCATCCAGGATGAGATTCTGCCCATCCCAAGGTCAGTAGAAAGATCACACCAGGTAAGTAACTCATCAAAGTGCCCTAGGCCTTCCTGCAGGCAGCGGGCACAGCTGGGATGGGATCAGGGAGCCAAGCTGGACCTTTGCAACATCAGGGGAGAAGAGGCTGTACCCTTCCATGCCAGCGTATACCTGGAACAAAGTCCCACCAGAGAGCAGTGATGTCCAGCAGGCACTGTGCTGTGGATCCCAGCAGAGCTGCAGAGAGCACCTCAGGGATCCCCAGTCCAGCACCCTGCTCATGGCAGCACTATTCCAGCATTAGATCAGGGAGGATGTGGCTTTGCCTACCTGCGTCTGGAAATCTCCCAAGGACAGAGATCACCATCGCTCCAGTGACCTGTCTTAGAGCTGGACCACACTCAGGCAGATAAATGTTTCCTGATGTCCATCCTAAATCTCTGAAGGCCCCCTGTGTGCCCACCATCCCTAGTTATGTCATTTGGCATCACTGAGATGTGTTTGCCTCAGTTTACTTGCAATTATTCCCAAGCAGCTGCAGCAGAGATCAGCTCCCACCTTACCCTCCCCTTCCCCTGTTTGACAGCGAGGTGGTCTCCCCACTGCTGATCATAAGGATGAACAATTTCCCTTTAATTTGCCACACTCTCCCTGGTGCAGCAGTTTAGCTCATCTGTGCTTTGTTCACATTCAGCCCAGTGCCCACTGATTCCCACCCTAACCCTTTCCCTACTCCAGCAATGTGTCCTGAGCCTGTTCACCCCTTAAGGAGAGACCATTGTAGCTCCTAAACATCCCTAAAGGTTTAAAAATAGCTTGAAGTGCCATTTTTACAAGGCAACAAAAAAAAAACCAAACCAAAAAACCCCAAAAAAGCCACCAACCAACCAACCAACCAAAAAAACCCACCAAAAGACCCAACAAAAAAACCTCAACAACATAAACAGAAAAACCAATTCTTGTCCTTCCTTTCCCTCTTGGCTTTATGCTACGGGTTCAGGGGATGAGGCTCTGAGACACATCCTGGACATGGTGGGATTCCCTTCAAACCCCATGTGATGGCCATACTGGAGGGGAGGCACAGGATGCCACTCTCTGGGCTGTGAGTTTTCCTGCCTCAGTTCTGATTCTGTGGGGTTTGGACTCTTTGGGGCCTTTAGGCCATGGTGAAGACCATCAGGAATTTCTCCACGAGGCAGGGATGTGCTCATCCCAATGGATTTGGAACCATCAGGCAGTGGTTTGCAGCAATGTTGTGCTTCCCCACTGGGCTGGGATGACCAGCACAGATCCTCCCTGCACCCTGTGCCCAGACAGATCCGTAAAGCTACTGGAGGATCATGCCCCCTTCCCAGACTTCTCTCCATGCTTTGACCTGCTTTCCCTGACACCAGGCCTTGGAAATGCAGTGGAAGTTTCCTGCAGGCAAGCATCAGTGTTAACTGGGTCATGGCAGCTGGAGGTCCGTGCTGGCTGCTGCCAATTACACCTCATTTCTGCTCAAACTCACTTTCCACAGGGGCTTTTCTGGGAACTCAGCTCTCCTCTACCTGCCCTTGGCTGCTGGATCGATGTGAACTCCCAGGCTCACTTGTGCTGTCTGCCCAATTTTGGAGGGTGGCTGGTTGCTGATCCTGAGGCTCTGATTGCCTCTGCCCGTGGCCAGCAGGGCCCCAGCGTGTGCCTCAGGCTCCTCCAGCCAGCCTTGCACTCAGCTTTCCCAAGGAATTTCCCAGCAGTGCGAGCACAGCTGGGATGGAGGTTTCTGGGGCAGGGAGGTGTTCAGCCTGCATGAGGCTGGAGGCCACGCTGCCCCTGCTCCTGTGCTCTGAAGGCCACACACCCCAAGAGGAGGGAGTCTCTGCCCATGGCAGGGGGTTGGAATGAGGTGGTCTTTAACATTGCTTCCAGTCCAAGCCAATCTGGGATTTGATGACCCTGGACTGATAAACACAGACCTTCAGCAGCTCTGATTTTGGTGGATCTCTGGCTCTGTTCCCCATGCAGAGGGCAGCAATACCAGTATCCTCAGTCCTGGGGTGTCCCACACGCCTCTGAGGCACTTCCATCAGCTCAACAGCTCCCTGCCCTCCATGGACACATCCCAACCTCTCTGCTTCTGCTATCTCACCCTCCTCAGCCACCTCCACTGCTTCCCACAAGGACACTGCGCCTTCTCAGCTTGGGCAGACACTTCCACTTGCAGTGGCATGAGCCACTCGGGATTCACTCCCGTCC